GGTTACACGTATGAGTATGATGTGCCTCCCTCGCCAGCGAGTGCTGTAATCACGAAGACGAACAATTGTTGACTGTAGTTTCCGGCAGTATATCTGGGCTTGATGACATATTCCAACTAAGGACATGATTAATTCGGTTGAAAACATAACGTTGTGTTGTTATTTAAACGCAACTATCCCATAATGCTGCAACATCTGCTGATTAGTCGTATATATTAGAGAATGGTGATCCACAACAGAGGCGTCTACCATCATCAGTACTGCACAGTGCACCAAATTCTCTTCCAACACTACACGGAACGGGGAGCCAGCCTCCCGAAAAATGGTGTTGTGTGAAGTTTAGGGAGTAAATTCATCTACATTGTTATGTTTCGGGCGTTCGCATGCGAACGTTTTTCTACTATTTCTCTGGGTGGAGTATGCGGCAGGCACTCCGTGGGTGATATCCCATTTGTAAAGGAACGGCAGTATGTGTAAAAGTGCGAGTTCGTGATTTATCTCTCGTAAACCAGTAATGAACCGCGGATCTGTTATGGTCTTTGACCTTGAAATACCACTCAGGTAAACAAAATGCCATGAGTGACATCGCTGAAAGGTGCAAACTGATTAAATCAATTTTCTTTAAATGTCACAACTTCGGAAAACTTATGGTTTCGGTGAAAATATTTTGTTTGCGCATCTTTTGAGCGGCGGACAAAGTACGGAATTGAGCTAAATCATAGTGTAGCACTTCGCGGTGTTCTTTACATATGAGGTAACCTACGCAGAATACCCTTTGCAAATTCCGTCCAGAAAAATAGCTGATTAACATTGCTTGCGTAAAACCCCTCAGAAGTAGCAAATTAGTTGAAGTTGCCTGGCAAAATTTTGAACAACATAGTTTTTTTAAGAAGGTCGCCTTACTTTGACTATAATGTTCAAAGACAATTTGGTGCACTGTGCGGCACTGATGTTATTGTGCTATGCTATGATATTATGATATGATATAATGTTATATGAAAGTTCAACGATATGAAATAGATGCACGTTAATTAACAACACGACAATATCACCCCAATGAAAAGTGATCTAGCGTCTAAGATGGAATATGTCAACAAGCCCAAATACATTGGCAATGGAAACGTAATTGCCAGCCAGTTCAGTTTTCGGATTCTGCATGCCACTTTCGCCAGACAGGGATTAAGATATGGAACCTGTATAATTAACTAGACATCGCGAATATCTTTGGTAACAGAATTGAAACAATAATTTAATGTTGGTTGACGTACCAACTTACCAAGAGCCTGATTGCTCCCATCGTCAACCCTCACCAGTGTCTACTTGCTAGGTGTGGGCGGATTCGGTTATTTAGTACTGGGTGCAAGCAAAATTGAAGCTAAAAAATAGTATGCATAAAACTGTTATCTTGAGACGTCACCTTGTGATGTCTACAACGCCAGATGAAACCCCAGAAAAATCACGGTTACTTATCCAAGCGCGGCTCTTAGTAGGTCCTGCAAGGCGATCACATTGTGAAAAGTCAGGCAAATGGCTCATTGTTCCGGGGCCCAAAAGCAAGGTCTACAAAGTGTTTGTAATCAGGCTTCAACGTGTGTCAGTGTCGACATGCTCAAAACTTTGGCAAAATAGTTTCATTGCAACAGCCATATGGCCACACTCTCTGGGCTTGCGTGGACCAACTGAGGTTGACCTCATGGCACGCTCACTTGGCTGATTGCCCGATGCACGGAAGACCGCGTTTTCACAGCGAACCGAAAAATATTGATACGTGCACTTTCGCCAGGAGGACGTGGAGGACCTCCACATAGCGGGTATGCCAGTCATCAAAGCAATAATCGTGATGTGACATTCTGCTTCGCGAATAGCGTCGATCGGCACGGCCAGCCCTCTGAACAGAGACCACAGGAGACATCGTCCGTCAGCGCAGAACGCCACTTAGGTTGGAGACGGTTATCCCACAACTTAAGAGGGTGACTTTATGTGCGGTGGACGGATGTTGACCTGACGTAGCTGAGTTTGTGCAATTAAACGCTTCTTGCAGCTTGTGGCCTTGCGTGGCTCCAGCAACTTCGTATTCCCGAACGGCCGTTCAAACTGCTTGTGCAAATTTTCCACTTGTGATGGCTGTGGCCTGGGAACAACAGATAGAGGATCAGATTTAGTAGGCCAGCCTCCGCTGATGAATGGGTATTTAGGCAACGCAAATTAGGTTAATGACTTACCGCAGGGGAACGAGCGGCTCCTGAAGACCGAAAACAGATGCACGTGGGGTAGCCATATAGACTGACGAAAGGTGTAGGTGCAGGTGCCACCCGTTTGAGAAAATTTTGTGGTTTATGCCAAAAACTAACTTACTGAAAACAGGTTTCTCATCTTAAGGCAATATATGTGATGGTACATTAGATTTGGCGCACTCATGCCAATGTGACCAAGAGCTTGATTGGTGGCATGCGTCATCATTCGGGAAACTACACGAAGAATGCAGCTGGTACCCTTGTAAATGTATCAGCGGTCACGGTGATAAGTGGTGTGCATCTCATTGTTGCGCATGAGCCTATCTCTTGCCAGTAGACCCTCTAGATGTCCTGCTCCAGGCTATCGGCGTGACGTATGCGCCTTTCCAGACGGTTGACAGTTACATTCTTGAAATGTAGCAAATCGCGCTGTGCATGAATGGCCCACTTTCGAATGATGTAAAACCCCTGGGCACTCAAAAAGAATACAAAGCCAGGGTCGGTCCGCGCAGGATCTGCAAATCGCTGAAACCTACGTGGTTGTCAGGTAGACAGTCACTTATTCAATCGTGGTATCAGAGTAGGTCATGCAGTGAAATACGTCAGCTGTAGTTGGAAATTGTCTGCAACACTTGCAACTATGAGACGAGGCGTGGTATATTGGATGGCTTGTGGTGCTAGAAGATAGCATAATATTATGTGCCGCAGCCAAACACAGCCTTGACAGCCTGCAACTGCGAAATCATCTCGTACATGATGAACGTCCAAACGGGTTACTACCCAAACATCATGTCGTTTAATGAGCTAAACAGTGCTCGCTTTCGACGAAAGCGCGCGTGACGAGTCGTCCGGTGCTCATGCTATCTGTCACAAGGGAAGTTTATAGCTTTTACCTGCATACTGTACGTTTGGTGCACAAAATAATCTACTCAAGGTGGTTCGTGACTTAAGTAGCATGAATGTCCACAACGTCCGCGAAACGACTAAATAATGCAAGTATTTTGGTGCGGGAAAAAACGTAGATGGCTGAAGCCACCAGTTGCCGATTCCTACACTCGTTCGTGCCAAATTATCGGACTTCGGCTAGAATCAACGACATGTGGTCTGAGAACTCGAAAAAGTAAACACCTTAAAATATGGGTCAGCACTTAACGCCATAGTTGTTGATATCTCGAATAGTCAGTATCTTCCCGAATTGATCTGAGACATGTTAACAAACCTGTGCTGACCGCGTCCCATGCTAAGAATGCGAACTGCGCTCCTTCAATTCGCCGCTTGTCAGGTGCCAGTTGATAGGGAGCCCGTAAAACGAAACTTCCTCATTCGGTGGTTGCGCTCTAGGTGGCAGGAGGAAACACTCAATTAGTCACCTCACGTACGTATATAGAATATATACGTACGTATATACGTAAACGGTGCACGCTCTGCTATCGATCACAGACATTGAAGGATACACTTACTGGCTGAGACCAATTCCGCGGGAATTGCTTGATCTATGGGGGCGCTTACTGCTATGGTTGAAAGCTTTTTTAAACAAAAGCTACATATTGCTGCTTTTTTGGGGGTACGCACTTTCAAATGCATTGGAGGAAGAAGTCGACGAGCTGATGCTTTCCAAAAAATCGCTGATAACCTAAATCAACAAATTACTGAGCCATGGCAGCCTTTAAAAATATGAATCCCGCACCCATGATGGACCTGGAGTTGATTTAAACAACAAGTAACAAAACTGCAGCCGCATGGGAGGCTCCAAGGTTTCGATAACTACCATCGAATTTCAAACATCCGCAGTGAAGTTGCCCTACTACGAACTACCGTTTCAGGGAAATTCGGGGTGTGCGTCTGAGGGTGGGAGAATCTCATTGCCCAGCCCTAAGGGTCTAATTAAGTGATGCTGTACCATTGTTCCTCTAGTGTGTTTCAGATGCACCCAAGCTGCCGAGCAGCAAGAACAGCTCCGAGAAGCCCAGGTGAAGGCCTTCGTCCTGTGTATCAACCAGTGTATCCACCATTTCGTATTGACGTGGCATTCGCCATTTTACGGATGATCCGACGCACCTTGCCCTGTATTACTCGCATGGACTTCTAAATACTCTATGGGGTCGACGTCAAACCGCTCCTGGAGTACGCCAACCGAGTTGTCTACTCAGGACGCACGAAAGACTTCACCCTCACTGAGCGTGTCCAGCAAGCCACTACGAGAATGGTTGCCGGCCTCAAATCCGTGAACTACGAAACGCGTCTCGCGATGCTTGATCTCTTTCCCCTGGAGTACCGTCGCCTCCGAGGGGACCTAATTCTTACTTATGCCCTGTTTGAACAAAGCTTGGCCAACCGTTTTTCACCGTTGACCCGACAAACACATGGCGGGGACATAGTCAGAAGTTCATTAAGCTCCCAGCGCACACATTCATGAGGCAAAATTTTTTCATTTCGAGTAGTAGCTGCGTGGAATGACCTTCCTCCGACGGTTGTACACGCCCCTTTTAGAACCCAGTTTAAAGCACTATTAGGCATATATTTATGCGAATCCTCGCGCTGGCAAGCAAACTGGCCCGCGCTGAGAACATAAAGAGCAGTGCTACACCCTTTTTTCACTTGTGCCTTTCAGGTGAACGACAGCCACTTACGGACAAGAACAAAACCGACCCGGGAAACTTGGGCAAAAGCCTCGATCCTGTGTATCAATCCGTTAATCCGTGACGTAAACACCTGGTGTTCTTAGTGGACTGGAGCCGGTGGAGCGTGTTTTGAAACTCGACCGTCATGTTTGCGGGCGTGGCGCTCCCAGTTTTCACCGCCTGTTTCTTGTGTCTCGTAGTAACAGTGCTTGTTTGGTTCTTGTTACGAAAGAAGCGTTCAAGCGTGTTGATCCTCGGTATATGTGATTCCGGCAAAACGACTCTATTTGCTCAACTTCACCATGGTGCCACTATGCCTACTCATACGTCCTTGAAGGAAAATATAGGAAAGTTCCAAACAGAAAAAGAGGTATGCTGAGTTTGACAGTCATCACTTCTAGAATCTTACCTTGGTTGATGTTCCTGGTCATGAGAAAGTTAGGTATGAGTGTTTTAGCAAATTCAAGTGTGACACGAGGTATATATGGTGCTCTTGAAATGACTGTTCCTAATCAGAGCGTCACTGTTTGTGATAGACTCAAAAAACATACAGACAGAACTGAAGGACGTGGCGGAGTATGTTTTTCTCTTTCGATAACTTTGAAGATTTATGTACAACGTTCTGACGGACCCGGAGATTGTGTCCTGCCGACCAAAGTTCCTGATCGTCTGCAACAAGCAGGATTGTACCTCGGCAAAGGGGTCAGTGGTTGTCAGAAACCTTCTTGAAAAGGAACTGTGAGTGAATAAGTTTTTCTGTCCTAAAATTTCCCACTCGGCTTGTCCGATGAACTTTTTGTATGAACTTTTGTATGTTTATCCGAACTTCCAGTTAAAGTTCAGTTAGCTCCATTAAATCCAGGGTGCACTACCATCCACATGGTTGTGAGTGGACGGTTGTAGTGCCTTAGACTTGCATCTCTTTCATAGTTGTGGTGATCAAGTTGTGGTAGTGAGAAATCAGTTTTGTTCGTTTACCTTGGCTGACTTCCTAAACGCAAGTGAGAATGACCTTTGCGGTAAACATGTTGCAGTTAGTCGGAACACAAGACTGCTACTCATTGGAGTCTTCCGTGTGTGGACTGTTGTACGGGCTATTGGATGTGTTTCTGGTCTCTAACGAAGGAAGCAGGAAAGGAAGCAACCCGAAGGAAGCACGAGAGCTGAGATACTGCCAAGTTGCCCAAGCCTAGACAGGGGAAGTTGAGAGGCAGAGGTCGGGCTCGAACCACAGACCGTACGATTAGTTAGTTCACGCTCTACCCACTTGAGCCATCTCGTCCCGGTCTCTAACGAAACCTCAGAACTATGGTGTTGAGGTTGTCCATGCATTGCATTGCATTTGTTAACTTTGGAATGGCAGTATCGCGTACTACCAGCCTCTCGTGATGCATTGATAATCAAAATTATCGCTATTAGTGTTGGCGTTATTGCTTCACTGCCACCACTAGGTTTATCTAACTTCATTTAAAGAAAAGAAAGAGGACAAAAGAGTGCCAGAGAGAATCTGGCGCTGGTTTGTCACACGAATTCTGGGGTGCCTTTACTCAGAGAAGCTCAGCCAAACAATCTGAAAAGAAACTGACAGCGCGAAGGCCGCATATATCAAGGAGTTGCAATTTCTCCAGCGCAGAAAAGGTCACAGGGACCCCATCGTGCAAAGCAGGCCTCATCACCAACTTAAACTCTTCGTTGTCTCTTTCTGCCAAGTAATACGCTGTTCACCTCGAAGTTCGTGCCATTTGGAAGGTGGCACGAAAAACAACACTGGTCTCTGTAGGCTGTTTCGGCATGCATAGCGCCGGCTTCTCAGTGGCTAAGTTGGGTGTGCGCGTTTTCCGTGGACCTGAAAAGTGCACTGAGAAGCATCAGTGGACAAGTGCATGGTCAGAGTCCACATTAGTATTCCAAGATTGACAGGCCGTGATTGGTCTTTGCCACCGGTAGCTGATGGTGATGTTTTTGGATTCCGGACTAGTTAGTTGGTGAGCACCACGTCGTCAAGCGATTTCCGCTGTTCCGGAAGTTGCTATTGTAAAGGATCAGTCTGTGATTAGAACACACTTGAAGCAGACGCTCTCCATTGTCCCTGCGTCTCGCATCCAACCCAAGAAGTCAACTTAGTTGCGCATAAGCAGCGCTTGGTCCACCTATCCGGGCGTTCAGGTCCCTTGCAACAAGTATGAGATCAACCTGCTGTAAAAGAGCACCCCGAGCTCCGTTGGGGCGTAAGCAGGCACAATAAATAAGGTGCGATGAACTTCACTTTGCCAAGACGTCGGGTGAACTGCAAATATTAACGGGTGCCACCCAAGTAGAGACGCTTCCACTCGATCGATTAATATAATACAACACACCATCCACTCTGGCTTATCCGTCTCCAGTGGTCTCTGCATCATAGGCTTGTAGCCAGAACCAGGAACAGAGACGTGAGGTAGTCAGTTCAACTACAGCACTTGAGTCCTGCATCCTTGTTTCCGACAAACAGCATAAATCAATGCATATGGAATTCAGCTTACGAACAAGAGCTACCTATCTCGCTGGCTTCGGTGTGCGAACATTAAAGGCAGCTTGATAGACCGACTTTCGGGTTTCGAAACAGATTTCGAAGTGTTTAGCGTTGTTACTGAATTCGGACGCACACAAACTGAAGCTGTATGCGATGTATGGTGAATAAAGCGGTCAGTCATAGTGCTGGGACTTGTGGTGAGAGTATTGAAAATGGAATCGAGTAAGGCAGAACGGGGAATGCGTTAAAGTGCAAGAAGGGGGCGTCAGCAGTAGTCTGTTTTCGCTTTCCGGCTCTGCTACATACAGCGAGTAAGGTGACCTGGTTGGTAACACCACGCGTCGGCCAATAATATTATTGTTGGTTGTGTGTATCATGGTTGCATGAGGGCTCGTTTACTTCCAGGGCGCCTACGTCTTGACAGGGAAAGTCGAGAGGCAAAGCTCCGGTTCGGACCTTCCGTCAGTGAAAATATTATTGTTGGTTGTGTGTATCATGGTTGCATGAGGGCTCGTTTACTTCCAGGGCGCCTACGTCTTGACAGGGAAAGTCGAGAGGCAAAGGTCCGGTTCGGACCTTCCCGTCAGTGAATTCGTGCTCTAACCACTGAGCCCATCTTGACCATTAGGGCCCTCGATTAAAGCCTTTAGCACAAAGGCCTGGTCGCTAGGCAGCAGTGTTCAGCGGGAAATGCGATTGCATTACCATTTTATGAGACAATTTGCCACACACGTTCCAATTCTCAACCTGAAATATGTGTTCATCAGACCCCTAACCATTGGTTAACCTGCTGATAGTCGCTCGAAGGATGTACATATCTCAAAGGCCATGTTTGCTGATTGCTGTCACTTGTGGTATCAAAGAGCTTGTCAATGTGTCTCAAGATTCGCTGCAGTTTGGACTATGATGTTGCGTGTTTGAGAAACATGCCTTCTGTGACCGGATGTGAGGCGTCTTCAGGTTTTTGACTACCGATGTCTCGGGAGCGTTCCTGGTGTTGGATGGGTCAACCATTTCGTAACGAGATACTGAGAAAACGGGTGTTTGGCAGGTACTTCAATCGTGGATAACACCAACCGCTTTGGCTTGGTCATGTTTTACGCATACCAAAACAGTCTACTGACACCATTGTTGCTCTCCTTTTCCTCCAGAATGGCGCAGCCCGCGAGATGGGCAACGTATGGCTTTGCAGAAGGGTTTGAAAGGGGGATTTTGGGTGTTGTTGTTCCCCGATTAGAGCGGACACGCAAACCAAAACATCACAACAGAGTGGCAGACCACCCATTCACGCCATCTGATGCGATATCTAGTTGAAAAACAGTGTCCCTGTAAATCAGTCTGCGCCGCCTGAAGACCAACATACAATATGAGTATACTAAGTGACGTCGTCTTTATATTGTTCTGGATAGGACTTCAACGTTTACAACCTAAAACTAATACGTTATTTATGCCTCACGGTTTGATATGTGCTTCCCACCTACAAAGTGTGTATTGCTGCTGCAAGAGCTCTAACACAAACCTCATGCTGATGGATGAGCCGATTAAGGTAGCGTACATTTTCGTTTACTTGAGCTGCTGTATCAGTCCCGGTGATCTAGCCAAAGATGATATTTCCACCCGTATTATGAAGGCTAGGGCAGCTTTCGTACCAGTGTCACCTGTGACATAGGCTTGACACCAGCTTATCGGTCAAGAGTAGAGTTTCCAATGCTGCGATGCCCTCCATATTATAACGCAGGTCAGAAGCATGGCCGCTGTGCGCTGAGGTCCTCAAAAAAACTTTCAGCATTTGGCCGTACGTGTTTTCGAGGTATTGCGCGAGGCTGATGGGAACGGCGGATCAGTAATACTAAAAAAGATTATATTGCAGTATATTGTTACGATGAGTCGTCCTCAGGAAAATTGTAGCGGTCATTGCCCGTAAATCAGAGGGGATGCATGTTGATATGTGCCGCTTGTTGGACACTTCTTATTGACTCAATATAACCTCTGTAACTATGTTGTCCTCGTGCAAGCCACTTTGGCTGGTGTGAACATAGCCCCTAGTAATCATGGCGATGTCATTATTTTGAAATAGGAAGCTCTCGACAGTTACAATGCTGGGGTCTTCCAGGAAGAATACATATAGGGGTGCTCAGTCAGATTGCTCCGCAGGTGGAATTCCGGGTATCAGCATTATTGTGCTGACTAGGGATGGCAACCATGATTCGGCCGTCTGTCGTCAGACGAAATTTCACTCACCCTCGATAAGGTAACTGGCAACATCTAACGGGTCGCGCTGGTAGGGTTACTGCTTCGCGTGCCGGACGACCGTTCGCCCCAATGAGCCCTTTTAGTTAAATCTTATGCCAAATGGTAGCAAAACGTGAAGTCAGTTCTGTCACCTTCTTAGCTATAGTCTTCCTGGATAGACTCCGGGATGAGGCACGTGTTTGGAAATATTGTTAGTCACGTGATTACTGACTCCTGAATCATAGCTGTCGCGAAAGAAGAGCCCATTAGTCCCCCCAAATGAGGTTTTACCCCACCCTTCCTGGAAGGATAATGAACATGATTTTGCAAATAGCCGATCCGCGGGTGATGGAGGAAGCTTTCGAGACGAGGAACAAGCCCCCTCAGCTGCTAGCCAGAGGACGAGGATCAATGTCAGAATACGCAGAGCAATACACCGAAGAAAAATTTTCCTCTAAGTAGCACTCGACTGCCTGCCTTGTTATTCTTGGAAGAATAACAGGAATCAGTGTCGAGAGAGGTTAATCAAAAATCGGAACCAATTCGGCATAACATTTCTTCGATTTAACAGGCTACCCGGGACGGACAGTTTCCATCCTGTTACTTTGAGTAACTCGGTAACATCCGTGCTACAACGAAACGACAGCATAGTAGTATTCAGAGCTTCAAGAGGGGCACTAAGGCCATCGTGATGCCAGCCTGACAGCCGTTGATATGCAAGTTATCTTGCGTAGAGTGTTTCAATTACCGAAGGAGTTGTTTCCCTGGTCCTGATCTCGCTTCGATGGCATACTACCCATTGAGCTACACGAGAAGACAGTTCACTATACAAAGTCACTACCAGATGGTCAATGGATAGAGGTGTGACATACGCAGTATTCTGCAGCTTTGGCGTTGGAAGGAGTGCAACAACTTGTTTCCTACTAGTCGGTACATTGCGGTTGGGCTTGTGAACCTCCAAACCTTCAGTCAGACCGTGTGGAAAGAAATTAACACCATTGATATCGGTTGAATGCCATTCCTCGCAGCGACTCTAGAAAGTTCACGGGGCCCCAATAACACCCACGGTCACCGAAAGCTCTTTCGCACCTGCCAAATCTTACGTCCGTCTCTCTCCGCCATTCGGAAGGAGAGATGGAGAGCAACACTCGCCTCGGCACATGTCCGAAGCACCAAGCTGGATGCTTCCTGCGACCGATAAACCGGTTACACAACCAAACACTCGTTCTTCAATCACTTCGCGACTGATTCCTGGACTCTATGTGATACCAGCAACGCTTCTGAGATATCGGTGGTCAAAGACCTGAAGATGTCTCAGATGGTCTGCTCACAAAGGCCGTCTCGCAACCATACAACAACAGCTCTTATTGTAGTCTGGTACTTGGGACCCTTGGTATCCAGTGATATGCTTTTAAAAGCCACGTATGGTGCAGACCTGCATGCGTAATTCGAGCTTTTGAGCTCCTTGCACTGACTACTGCATTACCGTCAGAGTTAACACAACTACTGGGTTATGAAAAATTCTCCACAGCTTCCAGTGTTTGTTGAATGGCGAGAGGTGTGTCCAGAGACTGAAGCATGCTTTTGCACCTTGATACAGGACACATTGAGGAAGATCGTACAATGATGGTCAGTTTATTCAACCGTGCTTGTACTCTCTTTCTCTCTGCGTCTCTAAAGATTAGGACGATCACGTCTGCTTCTCCATATCGACGAGATTCCCATTGCCACCAGGTTGCACATTGAGGTTTCGAGGACCCTCCGAGGGTCACGTGTTGATTGCCTCCTCGAATCTGAATTAGTTCTGTTTTCGAGCCATCAAGTGTGTTTTAAGGGTCGAGACAGCCCCGTAGTTGAGACGCAAACTCACTGACCGGAAGGCCTCTGGTTCGAACCCAACCCCTGCTTTTCGACTGTTCTTGTCTGGCTCTCGTGCTTCCTTCGGGTGATGTGACAACTAGGCACCAACCGGATGTTGCAGCTGATCGATTGTTATTCTTATTACTTAGAGTCTGTTGCAAATTCCCCGGTGGATGGTACGTCTTGCTGACGATTCTCAATAGAGATGGGACAGCTTTGCGGTTGGCTTTTTGGCATAAGCTGACTTCAATTGCAAGACGAAATCTCTATTGAAGGTTGCTGTAATCTCAAGTTACCAACAAGTTGGCTCTATCTGCTGGTTATCATGTATGAAAAACCGCCGATAAAAGATCCCGGTAGCTGTGTGGTGAATGTGAATCCACCCTGTTCCACCAACATCTTTATTTCTCCGTCTCTTTCTTTATCTAAGATGACCACCAAACCAGTTCACACCTCGCTCACCACTGTGGATAAGGAGTTTGCCTGGCAGTTGTTTAGGTACATATTTTCACTGATGTATCCGAATACACGCAATAGCTTTTCCATATCCCATACAGCGGGCAGTGCATGTCTAACTGTCAGATCCCAGTGTCTTCTCTTCGAAGGCGTCCGGTTTTGAGGTGGCTACAGTTCTCCGGTCGAATAGGCTTGCTTGCAACTAACAAACAGACCAGCTTTCTCGAATTAGATTGAAACGCCAAGCTCTCTGTATCAACCAGTTCACCAGTCTGTGCACAATCAATTTTAAATAGTATGATTTGTGATTAATGTAGTAACGACGCACCTTATCGGTTAGTTGAAGTTGTTTGTTTGCTGCTCTGTCCATGGAATTGTTTCTTTGGCAACCAGCGCTAGCTTCCTAGGTTGCAACTCGCCTTTCGGGATTGCCAGCGATATAGTTGTCCATTCCCTCGGCTGTGAGGAGGCAAGAACTCTGTACCTTGAAACAGCTCACGGCAAAGTCGGCCTTGGGCAACGTATTTTCTAAGCTTTCCTCAACGGCAGAAAAAGAAATAATCGCTCAGTCGTAACACTTTCGGTGCCCAGCTGCCACGCTACCCGAAAGAAGTACAAGGGCTGATATACTGTCAGTTTGCCTAAGCCCAGCCAGGAGCAGTGGAGATGCCGGGGTTAGTTCGAATCACGGACCTCTCGGTCAGTAAGCTCGCACCTTGACCACTGAGCTATCTCGACCGAATGGTGCCGCGAGTAAATTCCCTTATTTGCCCTTCCACCGGGCTTTCTTTACGGCTGTAAAAGTGGCTTCTCCAGGGATCGTCTCAGTCTATCGGAGTGACACTGGCAAGTAGATCGGTTTAGCTCTTGCGAAAACTGATGAACTGACATTTCAGTATACAGTCTTTGGGCACGGAATTGCTAACGGTATGTTAATGGTTCCACGAAAACGTCAACCAACTGTCGTGTTTGGCGGAAAATTGCATCGAGGTGTGCGTGGAAAATCGTTAATCTCTTTGGTGGTGTTTTAGGCCCGACATTGCAGCAAGTTCATTATGACGTCGCTGTGTTCTTCTAATTGGTGATTTCGAAGGCGAACGTTGTGAGCGCTTCGAGGGCTTTCCAGTAGGGTCGCAGTGCCAAACTTGTAATAGTCAGTGAAGGAAGAAGTCAACAGTTCATCATCATCGACAGCATGTCATCAGTGTTCCACACTGGTGCTTCGCTACCGTAAGATCAACAGCGAAATAACTGGAAAAAGGTGAACAGTTATTTCGGAATGAACTGTCGAAAACCATGTGGCACCATAAGAACCACCATGCAGCATATACCCTGAAAATATGGCACGGATGCACTGTCCTCAAGAAAATTTTCCCACTGGATGGTGTCAACCTGGTGGGGTTCAGGAGAACAATAGAAAATATAGTAGATTTAGGAGACCGCAGTCCATACAGTTGCCCGCGATGTATGGCTGCGACCTACACATTTTACAAACTTTAGGTGATCCTCACAAACGTTGCCCATTGACACAACCCATAGCGTTTAAGTGCCGTCCACTTTAGTGCATAGCTGACGCAATTCTACCTTGTCAAAGAACGTCAAAAGTCCGTCAGTTAACTGGTGGCGTCGTAGTCTCATATACTTGGTGAACTAGGTATTCAAACTTGCCCATCAAGTTGTACTCGATAACAAGTAGGAATTCGGCGTGTCCAGCAGGTTACATGAG